TGGGGGATTTGAGCCTGAGTCCACAGGAGTGGTTTGATCTTGTCTGGAGATAACAGGGTGGGCATCAGTAAAAAGCATTTTGAAGGGGAAATTAAGGGGACCTGAGACACCCTGTGACAGCAGGTTTTTGTTCTTTATGTAGAAAGAAAAAAATGGAAGAGGAGGAGGCAGAAGTCAAGAGGAAGGCTACAGATGCTGCTTATCAGGGTAAGCTGGAAATGAGCTGCCTTTATTTTCCTCAGACCAATGCATATATTCATAAGAACATTTAGAAAATACTGAAGTATTGTTAAGACCTGTAGGAGGAATTTCTTGACCCTAAAGTTGGAGAGAGAGGTTGTATTCCCTTTCCAGCACTATATTTATAACAGGGTAAAAGGCAGAGGCTTCTGAAAAAGGAATAAAATCTTCAGGAAAGGTGTATGCAAGGGAAAGCAGGATTAGTAAGGAGCTCTGTGTTAGAATGTCAGGGTTTTCACACCTTTAGTTTCCCCTGGTCACTGAAGATAAAAGGAAGAGACTTTTGTTCTGAATGTTTAGTTCTTCATAACTCTTGGGACATTTAATTTGGTGGTAGGAGGTGGTGAATACCCAACTGCTAGAGAAAGCTGCAGTTGAAGTGCATTAGCCAAAGTAGTATTGTTTGGGAACTGAGCCTAGTGGGGTGCAAGAAATCTCTATAACATAAATTGTTCTCTTAAAGTTCTTCAGGATAAAGTCAAAGGTTACTCTTGGGGACCGTCCACGATGGAGTCACAGAATCTCACTTTAGTTTCTGTTCCCTTCCAGCTCGCCAGGCCATTAAGAACCCACCTCGAAGACTCACGGGGGTGATGGTTCGTTCTCCTGCTGGCTCCACCTCCCCGGGCGGGGATTATTCCCTCGGAGATCTGTCCCAGCCTGCTGGGGATGAGGCCAGTCCAGGGGTAAGGATCCTTCTCTGGGTGGGAGGGAAAGCCCAGCTTAGGACATGGGGCTCTGCATCCATCACAGAGAAGGGGCCTGGCGAGAAGCCCTTGCCTCGCTTTGCAGACTTCAGGTGCTGTAGTGTGGTTGGTGACAGTGCTCCTCGAGATCCATGTCCTCTTTCCTGCCTGTGGTGATCCAGTGCCTGGATCAAAGGCCGCGTAGGGCCATCAGGGGGTTGGCCAGGCAGTCTGTGAGTGCCTGGGAAATGGCTCTGCAGGGCAGGGAAAGGGTGAAAGCACATGCCTGGAGTAGGGGCAGTGAGTGAATGGAGTAGGTGTCTGTGGTGTGCTGGATCAATGCTCTTGGGGGAAGCAGCAAGTGGGGCTGGTCCGTGTGGTGGAGTGTGGCTCTGAACAGTGTGGTTTTTCTCTTTCTCAGGTCACGCCAGGGACATTGCCCAGCACCCCAGTTGCCTCCTTCATTGGAATCCCTGACACCCCTCCAGGCTCTGCTCCCCTGGATGCCCCCATGACCCCAGTCACTGATGATTCACCCCAGAAAAAGATGCTAGGACAAAAAGCAACTCCGCCTCCTTCCCCTCTGCTCTCAGAGCTGCTGAAGAAGGGCAGTCTCCTGCCCACAAGCCCCAGGCTGGTATGGAGCTCTCTGCTCGTATATGCAAGCACACAAACAATTTGCTCCAGACTGTCCCACTGAAAAAGGGGGATCTGCAAAGAACTTTTAAAAATGTGCAGTTTTGTGAGAGTCTCAGCAGAAGTGATAATCTGAGAGGTATAAATACCCCTGTGAGCTGCGGAGATGAGCCCCTTTCCCAGCAGGACTGCAGGGCTCATGCAGCACATAGGACTGGCTGTCCCCTCAGTCACAAGGAGTTGGAGTTGCAGGGTTTGCTGTAGGAAATTGTTCTCCTCAGGGGAGGGAACTTGTTAGTCAGCATAATCCCCATCAGCCTCCATGGAGCTGTTCCTGGTGATTCCTACACTGGGCTCACAATTCTTTACACCTTGTCAGGAAGTTGTGTTTCAATATTTTTAATGTGTCTTAGTACAAGAGTAGAGAATCCTTGAATGGTGTTTATGACCTATACAGAAGTGCTTCAGTTTTCTCCTAATTGTAGACAGTTACTAAAATCACTGTGGTGAGAACCCACTTGTGGTGTTAGTGACTCAGGAGGTCTTAGGAGATGCTGACACTGTTCAGAGCCCAGTCTGGAAACAGCAGCCATCAGCCTGCTTGTGACACAGATTCCCTGGGTTAGTGCTTGTGTGATGGAGTAGGTGTGTTGCTGTTGACTTTTTTCTTCATAGTAGTTAGATTTAGGTTTTTTTCTATTTGTTAGCTTGGGTAAATGCTCCATGGATTTTGTGTTTGCAGGATGTAGCATAAGGTGGAGCAGGGAAAGGTAATGGCTGTGGAAAGCTGAGTTTTCTTTGTAGGAACAGGACTGGTTTGCATGTGTTTCAAGGTCCATCATAGGTTCACTGTGTCACCTTGTTCAGGTTATGTTCCATCTTGGCACTTCTGCTTTTCTCAGCTCAAAGCAAGGGATATTTCTGTGCCATCTCAGGTCATATGTATAGAGGATTGTGAGATCTTTGAACTGTGGCAGAGCAAATTATGCACTTGGCCTCAGCTCAAAGGAAGGTGGCACTGCAGCTGTGTTACAGGTAAAGAACAGCAACAGCTTCAGACTGTCATGTTCTGCACTTGTATGAGGGGGCCTCAGGCAGGGACTAACCGGAATAAACAGTGCAGAAGAAATGCTGGGACACCAGATGCTGGTCCTGTTCATGGAAGTGCATATCTGGCAGATAATCACTGGTGTGGTGGTATCTCCAGGAACTTCAGTCTCATCCTCCTTTGACAGGTTGGTGAAAACGAAATGGCAGTGGCTTCTGGTCACATAAACAGCTCTGGAGTGCTGCTGGAGGTAGGAAGTGTCCTTCCAGTGCTGCACAGTGGGGAAATGCAGTCAGCACCTGGTGCTGTCCCTGCATCTCCAGCTGCTTCAGGTAACGTTGGCCTCTCCCTGCACAGTTCTCCCTTAAGATGTATCTTCAGACTCTTCTGGGAATTGTCTTGGGAAAAAGATGATGACTACCTGGCTGATTTGAGGGCTTCTCTATCAGTTGTTTTCCTATTTCTATACCTCTGTTTATCTCACCCCGACTTTTTAAGAAGACTCTAATCCTTAAAAGAGTGACTGAAACAATTCAGCTTGATTCATTCCTGACCCATGCAGTCTGGTTTTCTGGGTTTGACACTGGCTAATACCAGGCATTTGAGTGTAGAAAGAAAGGGTTTGTTCACAGGGAGTTGGGGAGAAAATGATCTAGATCTGATTCCCAACATATCAAATGCAGCTCCCTGTGGATCTGGAGAACTCATGTGCCTTCCCTCTGCTGTATCTTAGAGATCTGTTGAGAGTTAGACCACTGAGTTCCAGAGGAAGTTCCACAGAGTGGGTGTAAGGGGGACAGTGCAAGACTCTGAATTGGGCTTTTTCAGAGCAGCCTGCCTAAGGAAGTTTTTTTTCTCAGCTCCTGCTGACCAGTAATTTCATCACATTGTCTGCAAATGAGAATTTATGTAATTCATTCATATAGAATCCCATACAAGTAATCTTGCTTTCCTTATCCACATCTGGTTTTTTAAGACCTGTTAATATAGTCCAGACATTTCAGTAAGTTCAGACTGGAAATTACAGCTAAGATGAATGGCAACCTTTGATATAAGAGGAATTCTCCAGGAAAAACCTGCAAAGGGATCCCCTCCACTCCCTGGCAGCTCCTGTTGACGACTGTTTGTCTTGGCTTACCTTGTGTGGCTCTCTCAGCACTGTTCTTCAGATTTCCCATAATTGTTTTGGGATGAGCCTTTGGAAAGGGCATCTCTGTGCATGTGTGGCTTAGTCTGTCCAGCCCTTACAGTGAGTGCAGTGTTCTGTAGCTGCATGATTCCACCTCAAACTGCACACACAACAGGAGTCGTGCGTTTTTTGGTGCAGGTTCTCTGTACAGCTTTTGGGACTCTTTATATGTATCTCTCCATGTCTTTTCCCAGAAGAAGCCACCAGGCAGTGAAGAGCCCAGTGGTGGCTTTGTGGACTTCAGTGGTGGCTGCTTCTTGCTCATGTGCTTTTCCCTTCTACTCTCTGTTAGGTGCTCCTACGCTTTCCCGGCTTTTAGAAGCTGGCCCTGCACAGTTCACCTCACCTCTTGCTTCCTTCTCCGCTGTTGCCAGCGAGCCTCCAGCTAAGCTCCTGCCACCCCCAGTAGAGCCTGTGTCCCAGGCCACTATTGTCATGATGCCCACGCTGTCAGCACCAGCCGTTGTGCCACCAGCTGCAGCTGCAGAAAGCGTAGCCACAGGTGCGTTCCTGAACTACGCACTCAGGTCACATCCTGCTGGAAAGCAGAACTTCCATGGGATCAGCACCCTGCCAGCTCTCAGCTGGCCTTTGTCACCTCAGACTCACCATCCTGGCCATAAAGGATGATTATGGTTGGGTTCTGGAGTAAAGAGATGGTTTTAAGCAGGGTTTGCTGGGTGGGGGTGCTGGTGATTTGGTGGACTGTGGTTCAAGGGTTGGAATCTCACTATGTCTTTCCTGTGGGAATGCAAACCTGTATTTGTCTTTTATTAATCTAAGTTTTGGTGGGGTGGGTGGGCCTGGGGTACTTGTGGTTGGTGCTTGGTCTTACCCACTACAGTGTTTTATTATGTGGGGATTTCTCCAGCTTAGTCTCTGACTGTCCCTCTCCTCCCTGTGCAGTGAGCCAGCCAGAAGCCTGTGTTTCCATGGAGGCAGTGTCTGATTCCCATACTGTGACAGTGTCCATGGACAGCAGTGAAATATCAATGATCATTGATTCCATCAAGAAAGAGTGCCTGGCTTCTGGGGCTGGCAGCACTGCAGGATCTTCCAAAGATCACTGCATGGATGGGAAGGAAGATCTGGATTTGGCTGAAAAAATGGATATTGCAGTGTCCTATACAGGGGAGGAGCTGGACTTCGATACGGTTGGAAATATTATAGCCATCATTGAGGACAAGGTAAATGGGGAAAGCAGAGTGCCACTGCCTTTTGCTCCACATTCAGTTGGGTTAATCTCAAATGATTGCTGTTCACCAATTTATTTTAAACAAGCAAGAAATAACTATTCCAGAGTGCACATTCTCACCATCATTTTCCAGATCAGTAGGAAAGGACACTACTGCTGCCTGACACTGGTGCTCCTTTTCAGGGTACAAAAAGAAATGTGTTTCTTCCTTGGAGGGTAGGGTTTGGGTCGTGTCTCTGGCAGACAGATGAGCACTGCTCACAGAATCCTTTCTAGGAGTGCCATACTTCTGATACTGAAGCTTCAGGAGAAACTCCCACAGGGAGTGATACAAATCTGGCTGAAAAGGGCAACTTTGTAAAGGGAGTAGACTGGGGTTTCCTCAATTATCTCAGTACCAAATGACATGAACTTTTCTTTAATCCCTCTTTCTGACCTTGACATGCACTGCTGTGTGTTTGTTTTGACAATAAAGGTAGACGACCACCCTGAAGTCCTGGATGCAGCAGTTGTTGAAGCTGCTCTGTCTTCTTTTTGTGAAGATACTGATGACCCTCAGACCCTTCCTGGCCCATGGGAACATTCCATTCGTCAGGAGCATGAGAAACAGGCCCAGATGCCACAAGTGTCTGTGACTGTGAAGCAGGAGAGACTGGAGTGTGAGGAGCCAGAGGCAAAAGGAATTCGAGACCTAATGGGCATCAGTGAGCTGGGGTCAGAAATAAAGACTGAACTTGCAGAGCAGGACCAGAGTCAGCTGGGCCCTGAAGAAACCATGCCAGCAACTGCAAGAGTGACAGAAGCACCAGAGCTTAGAAACCAAGAGATAGAAGAAGATCAGAGAGCAGCTGTAACATCAGGAGAGACTTCTGAAATCAAGATAGAGTCTTCCCAAGGAGAAGATGCAGTGCTCAATCCAGTGAAGACGGAGGTATGTGGTCACAGAGGCTGTCTGGAACTGATGTGGGGAAAGAGAGGAGCAGTTGTGGCAGGTAGGAGCAAAGTTTAGAGGAAGGATGAGTGATGGGTTGAAGTGGCCCTTCAATGAATGTGACTGACTGTTTTTCTGGGAGTCAGGCTGCTAATGTGCAGAGCAGCTCTGCTTAAGGCAGTACCTTTGTGTATCTCCCCCCACCCATGTGCAGAATTGCTGCTGGGAAAGTGCTCAGTGAACCTCATTGCCTGGAGTTAGGTTAGGGTGAGTGAGATGTGCCCACACCTTCACTGAAGTAAGCTGACACAAACATCTAGATTTGTGCATTTCTCTTCCCTCCAGACCCCACCTGATGATGATTCATCCCCTCCACAAGTCCCAAATGTGAGTGAAGACTCCTCACAGGCTGATGTTCAGCACAAATTTGAGCTGTCAGGTAACTTAATTCAGCTAGGAAATCTTTTACATGCAACATTATTAGCTGGATAGTTGTTAGTTATCTGGTTCAGGTGTTTTGGGGAGGAGGGAGAAAAGATTCCTGTAGGATCAGTGTTAATTACTGCAGGACAGTAGGCATTGATGCAGGAGCTTTTGTAAGAAAGGCTGCTTGGGAGAATCAATCTTTCTGCATTTCTTTCTTTCACAGAGTCAATGAAGGAGGAGGCCCAAGCCCTTTTTAGGAGTCAGATGAAGGTAATTCCCAGTTGGCTTTAGTCATCATGAGTTTATTAGCAACATCTTGCTGCTGCTGTCTGCTGATAGGCAAAGCTTGTGTTCAGCTTTCTGCACTGGGAAGTGAGCAGTCTGCAGCTGAAGGGGAGATTGCTTCAGAATGTGAAGGTGTTTGTGTATGTGCTTCTGGGTCGGTGGGGAGAAGCAGGGCAGGCTGGGGAGACTGGGATTTTGTGGAAGTGCCTGTACAGTTGTCAGCAGCCTCACAAGAAAATCACTTTGCTGACAGAACCATTGTTGCTTTGGAGGCGCTGAGTGCCTGCTATAACTGGCTGTGGTGGCTGATGGACTCTGTGTTTCAGGATGGGCAGGGTGAGGAGGATGATGAAGACGGTGCCAGTGAGGCTGCCAGTTTGGAGGAACCCAAAGAAGAGGACCAGGGTGAGGGGTATCTCTCAGAGATGGATAACGAGCCCCCCGTGAGCGAGAGCGATGACGGCTTCAGTGTCCACAACGCTCCCTTGCAGTCCCACACGCTCGCCGACTCCATCCCCAGCAGCCCAGCCTCCTCGCAGTTGTGAGTGTCAGGGCACACAGGGGCTGGAGGATTTCCATTTCTGGTCTGCTGTGTGGGTCCTAAGGGAGAGTTTGTGGATGATTTGTCTGCTTCTTGCTTAGAAGGGCAAGCGTGCAGACAGCACTCCAGTACCAGCTCACACTTTTTCTTCTGTCTTTGGCATGGATTAGCGTGGGCATGTCAAGGACAAAGCAAACCATGAATTTTCTGCTCCAAGGCAGTCATCAGACTCCTGAAGGAATTACGTTCTTCTCTTCCCAGCTCAGTGTGCAGTGAGGACCAGGAAGCAATACAGGCTCAGAAGATCTGGAAGAAAGCCATCATGCTGGTTTGGAGAGCAGCAGCTAATCACAGGTGAGTTTGATGTCTTGGCAGAAAGAAGTGACTAATCCCAGACAAGTCTCCACTCTCCCATTTCAGAGGCTTATCTCTCTTGAGAGATGATGAATCATACTGTCACAGACAAATAAACGGGAGAGCATGAAACAAATATCTACCAGCAAGGACAGGCACTGAATGGACTCTTTCTCTCTGCAGGTATGCCAATGTCTTCTTACAGCCTGTAACTGATGACATAGCACCAGGCTACCACAGCATCGTGCAGAGGTGAGTCTCAACAGTTGTCTGTCATTAGAACTCTGGATGTTTGCATATTTCTAGGGATTTCTGGCAGGAACTGTGTAGTTTTTGCCTGCTGTACAGACTTGGAAAAGTTCTTATTCTGGCATGATTCAGTCAGAAGCAGGTTTCCCCAAGAACAGAGTCATCATCAGTAACAAGCAGGTCTGTGCACAGTCCTGACTTTGAGTGAAGTACACTGACTTGCACAGAACATTTTATCAGTAAGGTGAAACGAATCTGTTTCTCCCAGTTTCTGTCCAAGAGTAGGATTTAACCTTTGGAATTCATAAAAGCTGTTCTTTAATCAGCATTTTTTACTGTCCCAGATGGTGGACTTTTCTGGAAGAATTAACCAGAATCCCCTGCTAGCTGCTGAAATCTCTTGTAAACAGCTCAAGCTCAGTGGCTGCAGCTCTAGCTCCTTAGTTTCTCTCTCAGTGGTGCCTGGAGAAGGCAGATGCCTCTCCTGAGAGCTCTCTCAGGCTGTTGTTACCATTCCAGTAACTGCTGGACACCTTGTGTCTTCTGACCCAGGCCTTGGTGCTGGGGAGCACAGCCCATGGGGGGAGAACTTGTTCAGCTAAATTAAATAAACACTGTGACTAAACACCTCACAGACCCAGGGGTGTTTCCAGAGGAGATGGGAAAGAGTTTTAAGCATTTCTGTTGCAATTTTGCCTGCATTTCTCTCACAGGCCAATGGACTTATCTACCATCAAAAAGAACATTGAGAACGGGCTGATCCGAACCACAGCCGAGTTCCAGCGGGATATTATGCTGATGTTTCAGAATGCAGTGATGTACAACAGCTCTGACCATGATGTATACCACATGGCTGTGGAGATGCAGAGAGATGTCCTGGAGCAGATCCAGGTAGAGTACTGAGATGAGGGCAGTGCAGGCCAGAGCATCTGCCTTTGTCCATAGGTCTGGCTGTAAGGCCACAGTTTCACTCCCAGTGTGTTTGAATGCAGTGGGTCCTGTCCTTCCCTGCTTCTCTCTCATAGGAGCTCAGGTGTTTGTGTTGAACTAGATTGTGGGCGAGTTAAAAGTAATGCAGCAAAATTTTTATATGTTCATCCAAGACCAATTTCAAATGTAATTTCCTTCAGGGAAATGCTTAGGCCAGCAAGAACCAGGGTGTGGTTCAGGAACAGAAACAAGCAACAAGAACTGTGAATGACAGGGGACGCGACGGCTTCTTTGGGTGGCTGTGCTGGTTTATGTTGATACAAAGTGCACATGAAACTGCCCTGTGAATTTATGCTAACTAAAATATCCTTTGAAGCAGAATATCCCAGCTGGCAGGGCTGACAGAGTTTGAATTAGGGTTTTGTAGTTCCTCAGGACTTGCGGCTTCTGAGGTAAATTGGGGAACTTATTCTGAGCAGCACACAAGGAACTGAAACTGCCTCTGACCCAGTCATTCCCAGCCTGTGGTCTGTGATAGTTAACTGACATGCACTTACTGAGCTTGTTTTGCCTGACAATCTTAACAGAGTGTGGTTTCCTTGCAGCAATTTCTGGCCACACAGCTGATGATGCAAACATCAGAGTCAGGGATCAGTGCAAAGAGCCTGCGGGGGCGAGACTCCACTCGCAAGCAGGATGCTTCGGAGAAGGTGAGAATGCTGCACCCTGTGCAAGGGCACTTGGGATCTTCTGAAGAATCCCAAGACACTGCATGAAGTTTCCACACCAAGGAGACAAAAGTTCCCACACTATCATCTTCATGTGACCAAATTTTCTTTAAATGTGTCTGTTGATTAGATTTCAGTTCTGGAACTGTACAGCATTCCAGAGGCAGGTCTTACGAGTTTTTTCTGTAATCCAAACACTTCTTTTACCTGTTTTTAAGAGCAGCTGATAAAAACTGTAGGAAAATGAACAGAGTATTTGAAGAAGTATGAATGCTCTCAAGCACATGATGTGACTCTTGGGGATTGACCTGCAAAGCAGGGGGTTGGACTCAGTGATCCTTGTGGTTCCCCTCCAGCTCCACAGACTGTGATTCTATGATATGGCAGAAAGATGAAGGGAATTGCCATATCCTTCACTTTCTAGTCAGGTTTTTAGAGCTAGGGAATTGGTCACCTCTGCTTTGCTGCATACAGTACACCAGGGAACCTTTGAATTCCACACTGATCTAAGCAATGAACGTTTGTGGTTTTTTTCCTTCTGTAAAGACACATGCAAACTTGGTGAAGTGATCTCAGGTACCTTCTGGTGCACACAACACTATGACAGCAGGGACTGCCTGCTTAGTTCTAGTGACAGCTGTACCAAGCAGGAATTGTTTGGTAGACCAGGAAAACTTGCTGTGGCTGTGGAGGGAATATCCCTTTCCTGGCATTCTGGCTCTCGCAGTATCCCTCTTTTTGTCTGTTTTTATGTTCCTGCTGCATAAGACTGACGCCCTGCAGGAAGGGGAGTGGGGCACATGTTCCTCTATGCTCGTGTGTGGGCTCAGTGCTTCTGTGTGGTGTGTGCATTTCCGTAGCTGATGCCTGATAAGTCCTTCTGTTTGGCCTTTTAACAGGACAGTGTCCCAATGGGCTCTCCTGCCTTCCTTCTCTCTCTCTTTGTAAGTATTGAAAGGCTCCAGCAGGTTCTGCAGTACTGCTGCCAGGTGCTCTGCTCCTTGTCTGGGTGATCACTGCACTGTCACAGCATCCTTAGCACTGCAGCAGGGTGTGTTTGACTTGGGGGCTGCACCACTGTGATCTGAGAAGAGACATCTCAGTCCCTTATTCTCAAAATGGGTGAGCGGGTGGGGCTTCAGTCTTTTCTTCTGGTTCCAAGTGTTTTTGTTTTGTCATCTGCTTTTGCTTTTTTCCATGACTTCTCTCCTGCTTTCTTTCCATGTAAGTGGGAAGACAAAACAAGTGGTGCAGTCCTGTAGTTCCTGCATCTCTCATGTTTATACAGCTGCCCCTTCCACATGTCCAAGGCAGTACAAAAGGTCTTGGGAGAGTGAGGAGTCAGCTGTGTGTCCTTTATCCGTTCCTGGTTCAGAAAGCAAATAAGACTCTGCAGAAATGTCTTCTCTGTGCCCGTGGTGATCTGGAAGTGTTTGGAAAAATATTGCCAAGTGTCTGAGTTACTGTGAGGAGAGAGAGGAGGAAGATGGAGAGCTGTCCTTATCTCACATGTATCTAAAGACAGAGGAGTACTCCAGGAGAGGCAGATCAGCCAGAGAGAGAGAGCAGATCAGAGGAAGCTCTCAGCTCACGTGCTCGTGGAAAGGAGCTGTGTGGAGGAACTAGGGAGCTAGTGCCAGGGTCACTCAACTGGAGGAGCACTTCCCGTAGGGATCAGCAGCTGATAAGGTACGTTAGTCAGCAGTTTTCCCACCTTAAGCTAGAATCTGATGCTTAGGAGAAAGCCCGCACTGTCCAGGCTCCAAAAGCATCTGTCTGGGCCAGAGGTGTTGCCTCTCTCTGCCCTGGCTCCAGCAGTGCAGGGATGCTGCCAAGCCCAGCACCCTGCTGTGTCCAGATCCAACTTCAGGTAGGTCTGCAGGCAGGCCTTGGCAGGGACAGCTTCCCTTTCTCCTGTTGGGAAGGCACGAAAAGTTGTTGCCAGATGCAGAATTCCCTCCCTCCCTGCCTCACTCCCTCCCTCCCGCTGTGCTGGAGGGACGTTCCTGTGGGGTTGTGTAACTGTGTTTGTTTGCCTTCTGAGCAGGATGGAGGCACCAGAGGGCGGCGCTGCGCCATCGAGGCAGACATGAAGATGAAGAAATGATGCTGCAGACACAAAATCCCAGCAGAATCCCAGGCATCCAGAGCTGGAGTGTGAGCAGGCAGCTCTTAACAGCTGTTGGAGGAGGAAAAAAAGCTGCAGGTCCATTTCTGGGACCTGGTTCACCACCTTCGCTCGCCCTTCTGGAAAGCAGTGTCTTGTCAGAATGTGTAACCCAAAGAAACTTCCCCAGAGGGGAAGAGCAGCCCCCCTGCCTGTTTTAGGGCAGTTGTCTTGGGCTTCATCAGTGTTCTGGTGTTAGCTAGCAACTGGTGGCTCGTATGTACTGTAATGTGAAGTGTACAGATTTTTACTAGTGATGTGTATATGTGATGTATATTAAAATCTGAGAACAAACCCGTGTGCAGTGTACTGAGCATCACAGCTCTGCAGGGAGGAGCCCTGTGCTACAAGCCTGGATCCCCACCTGGAATATCTGCAAATAGAATTCTCTTCCACTTATGCCTATAGCACATGTATGGCAGAGCTCTGATGTTAGAGACAATCCATAAATCAGGAATGCTGCACAGTGCTTGGATGGAGAGGAAGATTCCCTGCTTGAGTGTGTGAGGATATGGCACCGCTGTGGTGACACTGGAGATCAAACCTTGAGAAGTTAAATACTGCAGTCTTGGTGGAGCTTTCCTTAGGAGAAAATGCATTGAAAAGGACTTGACATTCTTTCCCCAGAGATCTGTGGAGGCTGCAGTAGTCAGAGTGAAAATCTGTGATCCCAGCACCCGTAGGCAGGATTGCCAGTACCCGCTTTCACATCTGAGCTTGTGTTTTTACTGTTTCTACTGGGAATTACAGTCCTTTTCCTCAGCAGAATGAAGACTTGAGTGCTCTGCGAGAATTTCCAAGTCACTTTTTCTGCTCATATGACCTGAGATGAAACTTGCATGCTTTCTGCCCACACAATCTCATGAGGGAAAAAAAAAACAACAAAATGACACCATCCCTGATTGTTGCACTAGCTGGGAGTGCTCTGCACTGTGTGCAGCATGTCCAGGGTGCAGCTTTCTGATAGACAGGTTTCAGGAAACTGAGTCACTGGGATTAAGACCAGAGGCATTGCTGCCTTATCCAGTAAGAGCTCTCAATTTTCACAAGTTCAGTGTTGAAGTTGGCCGTGCCTGCTGTGTCAAGTTCCGTGTATTGCTGAGGTGAATTTTCACCAAGAGTCACTGATGTGGAAATGCTGGAACTCCCTTGGATTGGTGATTGGTTAATTGTCCTTCACTGCTAAACCCAAGAGCAAATTTCTGGTTTGAATTTGTATTGTTCTCAGTTCATAGCACAAAAAGTTACAGGGGTCTTTGTCTTTTTGTGCATTTTATGGAGTGATTTCAGTTAGGGACAAACATTTTAGCACTGGGAACGTAATGGTTCTAAACTAAAAGAGGGCCTTTTTAGACTAGATGATTTTTTTTTTTTTTTTACAATGAGGGTGGTGAGGCCCTGGCACAGGTTATGCTGTGGATGCCCCATTCCTGGAAGTGTTGAAGGCCGAGTTGGACAAGGCTCTGAGCAATTTGGGATAGTGGAAAGTGTCCCTGCCCATGGCAGAGGAGTTGGACCCAGACAGCCTTTAAAGGTCTGTCTCAGCCCAACCAATCCATGATTCTAAGTTGGAAAGAACCTCTGTGTGTTCCTTTCCTTCATTCAGCTGCTCAGAGCAGAGCCAGCTTCAAATATTTACTTTATACCCAGTCAGAATTTCCTGTGATGCGACTTGTCATCCCTGTCTCCTTTCACTGTTGGGCTCTGAGAAGAGCCTGGCTCCATCTCTCTGTAACACCTCTGCCCTGCCATTGTCTCTGCTGGAAAACTGAAGGTGCAGCACAGAATATCTTTATCAGACCCTCTGGTAACTTGCTTTCATAATGGCAAGCATTGCTGTTCCTTCCTACCCTTGGTTTCTTCTCTTATCCAGGTATTTTTCTCTCAGCCTTTTCTCTTGTCCCATGACATTTTAATAGTCTTTAGTGATGTTTAAGAGCTTTAAAACTCCAAGATATGATTTTCTGTGCAGAGCCTCATTCCCTCTTTCCCAATTCATCATCTCATGCTCTGACTACTTATTAATTCTCTTCTTCCTAATACTTTGTTCTAATCTGTCTAGTACAGAGCTGATGTTTTACTGTGCTGCATTTCCCAGCACCCACCCTTTTACAGACAGATAAAACTGTCACCCGTTTCTGGTTTTCTTCTTAAATGACAAGTTATACACATAGGCTCAGTCACATTATATTTAAGCTTCTTTAGGGCTCACAGATGAATCCCAATGGGTTCTAAGGTTTATTCACTCCCTCAAATTGTTCTAAAATCTCCCCTGTTGACATTTTAATGAGAAATCGTCTCTCAGACCCATCCCAAGAGATGCTCTCATGTGAGCTCCTCTGTGGCAACTGCTGATAATGATGATTAATTTGGTTTTTCCAACTGGCCCTGTTTTCCACTGAAATGTTTGGCACTGATCATGTGTCATCCCCACTGATCATCTGGCAGTTTCTGATGTTTTTGATGAGGTTTTTTGTTTTTATTTGCTTTTATGTCTTTAGCAAATTGTTCTCTTTTTTTTTTTTTTGCCTACTTTATGTGGATTCTACATTTCATTTATTTGACTTCAGGCTTTTATCATTTTTCTTGTTTTGACATGTAAGCTCTTTTTAAAGTCTGTCTTTTTGATTTCTAACAGCTTTTTCCCAGAACAGCAAGGGTTGTGCAGTGTCTGATCTCTGCAAAGCGAACTAAAACTTTCCAATTTGAGAGAGGTTCCTTGCTAGTGACTTATGTGGCCAGCATAATTAAGAACTATCAGGCAGTTCTTAATTAAAAGTTCAAGTCTGTGTCATTTTGTCCGGAATTGGTGTAGAGCTGAGCTGTCTGTGATTATTTCACTGATCATGTCTTGGAATAACACTGCTGTTCTGCTCTCTGGCATCTTGAGTCTTCCAAGATTTGGTAAAACTGAACATAAGGCTGAAGATCTCTTTAATCTTATGCCCAAGTTCCCAGGACTTCCTGATTTTCAACGTTTATCCCTCTGGAACACAGAAGGATGATCACAAGTGATCAGATTACCCCAGGTTGAGGCTTTTCAGTGCCTCTGCTTGTGGAAGCTCTGCTGAGGCTGCAGGAGAGAGCTCCAGGCACAGGTTTCTCTTCAGATGGAATCTCAGTTTGCTCAACTCCCTCACCTGGAAGCTGAGAGCAGGTAATGTTATCTCTCACCTCATCAAATTTCATCTACTGCCGCTGAAGTGAACTTTGAAAGAGGTTTCTGAAGGACAGGCTTTCAGACCCAACTCTGCAAGTTCTCAAAATAAGCAAAGCAGTTTCCTCATCCCAGACCCAGTGGATTCTGTATTTCTCTCAGTTATGCACCATAAACTGAATTTGGAGCTGTGCTAGCAGTACTGAGAATGGAAAAGCCAATCAGTGAGAAACGTGCTTGTTCAAAACTCTGAAAAAATTAGGTTGTATATAATTAAATGAAGACTCCAAAGACAGTGTTAATTAATGCATAGAAATCTCCATAGGTGCAGCATCCAGGCAGCTCTATTCAGTGGCAAGATGCAGATTTTGGGAAAAAAAATCTGTTGTGCTGTGACTCTGCAATCAATTCCCTAGACTTGGAGGACTCAGAGTGCACTCATGTAGTAGAAGACATTTAGGCATGGACTAATGAACAGAGAAGAAATGAATGGTTTCTTCCTTCTTAAGAGAAGGCTAACTTTTATTTTCTGCAATGGATAGAACTGTGCCTGTTGGTGTGTGACTATGTGGGTATAACTCTTCTGGTTCAGGTACATGAGATAACACTATCCAGATAAATCACACTCTCTCTGTAAGGTTTGTAGTAAGTTCTCTCCAGTACCAAGTGGAATTTCAGTGAGTTGTCCTTGGAGTCACCAGTTGTTCCCAACACTCAGCAGCTGAGGAGCCCCAGCAGGACTCGGTCTGAGCTTGGTGGATGCCTTCAGCACCTTAAATATGGAGCATCAGCAAAGCCATGTGCTCCCAGACAGCTCAGCATGCCCTGAGCAGTGACCCACTGACCAGGGCAGGGAGAGAGCCCAGCAAAAGTAGCAGAAAACCTGAAATTCAGTTGCTCTGAAGCAGCAGTTTGTGTTGCAGAGCTGCAACCCTGCCATGTGCTGTGTGGTGAGCTCAGGTGTAGGCTGCTCACCTCAGAGTCTTTCCCATGCTGTGGCCCTCCAGGTGTGTTAGGAAATGATCTGGGCTTGGGAGTTCTGGGTCAGGGTACAAAGAAATTGCTGTCTTTTCATTGTTTACAGATGGGCCGTGCCTGTAAGTCTGAGTTGGAGTCTCCTATCAAGTCAGAGGACAGTGATTTCCAGTCTATTCCCGACTGGGATTCAAGCTCAGATGTGGATGTGAGGAGCTGGAGAACTACTGAAGAGGTGACCATGGGGAAGTTAGAGGGAAGCAGCCAAGAGCAAGAGACAGACCATGAGATGGAGCTGAGTGAGCCTCTCTGGGAGGATGATAGTGAAGATGACCACGAGGCAGAGAAGCCATGTGAAAGTGACAATCTTTTCCAGTTCCTCTTGGAGGTAGGGCTATTTACAGGAAGATGAGCAGCATAGTTCAGGCCCTCCTGAAACATTGGGCTTTCGAGGGCCTGCACCATCCATACAAACAGAAACAGTCTGGGGGCACAGCAGAAGCTCTGGATTCACTTTCTCCCCAGCCCAAGTCCAGCCTTTCCTCCCATTTGGAGCTCCCACTGCACCCAGGCAGCTGCTTTGCCAAAACACAGCTCACCCTTAAGCACAGAAATGTCAGTGAACTGACACTGTAATAATAACACAGGGCTTCATCAGATATTGCAAGGATTCCTAAAAATGGAAAGGCGTTCATGAGTGATTGCAAAAATAGCATCTCTGCTGTTTATTTCTTCTCCCTTTTGCCTTCACAATTTGAAGTAATAAATCACTGTCTTGCAGGTAACCCAGATGTTGGAATCTTTCTGCATTAGCAGCACAGAGTCATCACAGACTCTGTGGGATTATTGTGGCTCAGAGAAGCAGAGTGATGAGGAAGAAGTGGGGTGCCAGGAAAAGACCACAGGAACAGGAGTGTCAGGAGCAGAGGAAAGTCAACTGCACATCTTGGCACAAGATGAGAAAGAACACTTCCTGGGAAGAGAGGTAGGAGAGTGGTGGTCCTAAAAGAGCCTCTGGCCCTGGATGAGATGAGACAGTGAAGGAAACCAGCTCTGGAAGAGATGGGGGAGCTCCAGGTTCTGAGATGGGGGACAAAACACACAGGAGGGGAACACAGAAGAAATGTATGAGGGAAGGGTGTTTTTTATGTATGGCTGTATGTCTTTATAAACAGGAAGCTTGTTACAGATGAAACCCTCAGATGTGAGTTGGAGGAATTGCTCCTTGGCAGTGTAAAGGTGACTCATGAGAGCTGGCAGGATACTCTCAGGTTTAAGGCAAGGTTGGAATACTTGCCTGGTTCTAATTGCTGTGTTTTGCAGCACAGCTTGGCTGGTTTCAGGCCCACGTGGCTGTGCCAGCAATAACCATCTGCCCCTGGGGACTGTCATGTCCTGGAAGCAAGCACTGTCTAGCCTGGGTTTGCATCAGTCCTGGGTTTGGGGGCTGTGGGCTCCCACCAGCCTGCTGGGTATTCCTGGGAAAGTAACACAGCAGTGGAGGAACAGTGACATTTGTCCACACTTGTTCTCTCACAAACTGAGGACACCAGAGACAAATGACTCCAGGATTTCACCTGTTCAGCCAGGACAGTGTGTTCCCAGCTCTCAACTGCTGTTATTCCCAACAATTCCCTTGCAGTTCTCCCAGTGGTCACAGCCAAACACAGTGTCCAGGTTCTTTCTGAGAAGTCTGCTCGTGCTTCAGATCTGCTGAGGATTCTGAGGTGCTCCTGCATGAAATCCCACTGAGCATTTTACTGGCAAACCACCACAACAACAGCACTGCTCTCCTTCCTGGCTGAGTCTATTCCCTGTCATTTTAACGTGGGAGTTTGTGAGGAAACAGCCCTGTTGAACTCCAGGGGTTCCTGTTATCTGTATCTGGAGCTTTAGCAAGCCTGAGGCAGTCTTACCTCAGCTCCTGATTGTCCTCTCTACATTCATGACTCTACCCAGAGAGCAGACAGACACAACACTGGGCACCACTCAGCTCCAGAGGGTTTGTGTCAGCCAGGGGTGGATGTCATCCAAGAGATCAGACACAGCTCTTGCTGGGAAGGTCTGAGTGAGGTCAAACAGCATCCTCTGAGTAACAGAGCAAGCGAGCTCCCAGCTGAGCCTGGATGCAGGAAAGGGACATGCAGCAGGCTGGCATCTAGATGAAGGATTCAGGTAATGTGCTGCCATTTTAGATGTATCCTCTGTGCTTGTCAGGGCAAGAGTCAAGAGCTACCTGGAGAACCACCTTTAGATGAGCTGCATCCACCAGAGATGAGTGCTCAGGCCCTGGATCAAGGTGACAATGATGGCACCTCTGCATCCGCAGTGCTGGACTCCACAGGCTCTCCCAACATGAACCTGTAAGTAGGTGTTACTCTTGCAAATGCAGCAGAAGTCATTTCCCTTGTCACACATGAGAACAAGTGCATGGCACAGGTCACATCCAGGGAGGTGAGATAGCCAAGCAGAGCAGGAGGGAAGGAGGTAACTTGTGCTATCTCTGTATCTGCTGGTATTATAGGGCATTGATCCTAAGATGAACTGAGAAGAGGAGATTAAAAAAGAGATTAAATAGAAAATACATGTTTTCTCAAGTCAAATAGGCCTGGTGTGAGCTGGACATGAGGCTGTGTCAGGCAAGGCGTGTCAGTGACATGCAGGCTCTGCCACGTGTGATAACTTGGACTGCCTTTCAAAGGAAAAATGTGGGATTTTGGGGAGAGAAGCTTCATAAAAACCATCTCAGTACTAAGTTCTGAACTGCAGAGTAGCTTGAGCTTTTCTGTCCAATTTGGTCCTGCTCCTTATCTCAGCTTTTATTTTACCTCTTGTCCTTCATCTTCCTGCACTCTGGATGTTCAGTTGTGCATTCTGATGCAGAACACTCCCACCATCACACTCAGAGGCTTTTTGTAGCTTCATCCACCTGGATGTGGTGGGTGCCAGCAGAATTGTCACCTCCTACTTTGTCTTGAGTGTGATGATCTGGCAGTATGTTCACTCCACAGGCTGCAGCCAAGCTGGAATAACCCCCTCCAGCACCTGATCCTCAAAAAAAAGCTCATGTCCGTCTGGAGGATGATAGCCAGCCACAGGTACGTGGGAGCAGAGGGCTGCATCAACATGTCCTGAACACACTGCCCTGAGTTCCAGCTTCTGAGTCACCAGGCCTAGTCCTCCCCTCCCAGGGGCTGGCCTGTCTCTGCAGGACTTTGCTTTGGGAACAGCTGCCTGCTGCAGAGCTGGAGAGAACACTGCATATTCATTTCCTCTGCTTGATTTCCTTAATGTGGCAGAGCCCAAATGCTGTTTCCTACACAGCTGGTACAACACTGGCTGTGGCCCTCAGGGCCAGCAGGGAGAGGCAAGCCCTGCTTCATGATTTTGGTGCAGGGGCAGGCAGAGAAACATTCTTTGTCCTTGTCCCTGTAGGTTCAGCAGCCCGTTCCTGAAGCCAGTGTCAGAGAAACAAGCCCCTGGATACAAGGATGTGGTAAAGAGGTGAGTTTGTCGAGGAAGTGCTCACTGGCTGATTTCTCTCTGGTTGTTTTCTGCCTTCTCTGGTTTCCAAAGGGCCAGTGGGATGGTTTCCTTCCTCCTTTTTCAGGGTTTGGCTGTCACCAGCATCTCCCACTGATTCCTTTCAGTAAAACTCCCTTCTGGGTAATTAGAACCTGGAAGTTTGCACTGACTCTGGAGCTGGTGAGAATTGTGCCTGCCCTGTGCAGGCATTGCATGGCTGGCTTGTCCCAGGCACAGTCTCTGGGCAGGGGATCCAGGCCCTGCAGCTCAGCAGTCCCTTCTCCCCATGCTGGGAATGTGCCTCAGGAGATGCCCCCCTCCTCACCCGCTGCGAGCGCCCCAGATGTTTCACTCTCAGCACAGAAGTGGGTCATAAGAATATTTCCCAGAGAGATTAATGGCATTTTTTCAGAGCTGAATCATGTTCTATTCTGGTCACAGTTGTCCTCTCTGCAGCCATTCATTTTCCCATTCTGTCAAAATAAGGGAAGTAATATTTATTCCCTATCATGTTCCCCTTACCAGCACTGCTATTTTTGCTGGTGGCACCATTCGATCTTCAGGGGATTTAATAGATACCTATTTTAGTAACTTTTCTTTCTCCACTAAGACCTGGACTGACTTCCTGAAGACTAATTACTGCTTGCCTTCTCTGGAGCTCAGCATCCCATTTTTTCCAGAGGTGACTGCTAATGACCTGCCAAGTTGATTGGATAGCAAGTGTCACATTGGCTGAACTCGCTTTTGTCTGGCTTGGAAGAAAAGCCTTTCTTACTCCTCCCTGTGTGTCCTGAGCAATAAAATTGATTGAAAATAGCTGTGCTTTCAGGGCCACCCTGAAATGAGAACATTCATGTAGATCCCAAAGGGTGCCTGGCCCTGGGTTGCAATTTCATTCTTCGTCTCTCTGTCTTTTATAGACCCATGGATTTAAGCAGCATAAAAAAGAGGCTGTCAAAGGGACACATTCAGTCCGTGATGCAGTTTCAGTGTGACCTGATGCTCATGTTCCAGAACGCCGTGATGTACAACAATTCTGACCACCACGTGTTCCACGTCGCTGTGGAGATGCAGCGAGAGGTCTTGGAGCAGCTGCAGGTCTTGGCTGAAGCCATCCTGTTGTCCAGGGACAGGCTGGAGTGAGGCAGAAGGTAACCAGCCCTGCCTGAGGCCTCTCTCAGCTGGAGCAGCATTGTTTCTGTAGGTCAGGGCATCTCCTGGGCTCAGGGGATGTGCTGCCATGGCTTTGGGTAGACCTCATTATCCCCAGTGCTGGCTGCTGGGTTGATGGGTTGATTCAAAGCAGTTTTTGGGAGGGTACCATGTTGGAAGCCTCCATTCTTTTTGGGAGAAGCAAGAGTTCCCTCGGATCTAAAGCAAGGGAGAAAATCCTGTGTGTGGCCATCTGGATGAAGCAGGCGCAGCCCGTGAGGGTGGCTGGCTGCACACCGGACACGGCAGCGTTCCCGTGTTGAGTTTGTTGTGCTGTTGTGTTGGGTCGGGTGGGTCCAGCGTTACCAGCACTGACCACGCCCAATAAAGGCCTGTGTTGAAGCTTGTCCCGGCCTGCCTGACACTGGGACTGGGACTGGGACCGGGACTGGGACCGGGACTGGGAAGGGGCCCAGAACTGGGACTGGGGGTGGGACCGCGAAACGCGGGACGGAGCGCGTGGCCGTGAGCGGTACAAGCGCCGCTTGCCATTGGCTGCCTCGACTGTCTGTCAAAGCCAGAGCTGTTTCCGATTGGCTGGCGGGGAGCTCGCGGGCTCATGTCCCGCCCGCGGCGCGGCGCGTGCCCCGGAAGCGGAAGCGGCCTGGTGCGGCCATGGCGCGGGACAAGCCGGAGGCGGCGGCCGAGGCGGAGGCGGCACCGGAGCTCTCGTACCGGGAGCAGCTCGACTTCCTGAACCCCATCGCGCAGCCACTCGCGTCCCGCAAGCTCACGCGAAAGCTCCTCAAGTGCATCAGGAAAGGTCTGGTGGGCCTGCCATGCGGCCGGGGTGGGGGGGACCGGTACGTGGCGGCGGCGCTGTGCAGTCCCCCACGCTGCGGTTCTCACTCAGCCCCTCACGCCGTGGTTCTCTTGCAGCGACCAAGCAGAAGCAGGTCCGCCGCGGTGTGAAGGAGGTGCAGAAGTTCATTAACAAGGGCGAGAAGGGGTGAGTGCTGCCCTGGCCCCGCGGCCCTGCGCGGCCCCGCCGGCTTGGCCGCTGACACACGGCTGTCCCTGCAGGATCACGGTGCTGGCCGGAGACACGCTGCCCATCGATGTCTACTGCCACATCCCCATCATGTGCGAGGACAGGAGCCTCCCATACGCATACGTCCCTTCCAAAACGGTGAGTGCTGGGGTTAGGGAGGAAGGAACCGGCCCTGGTGAAGGGGAACGCAGTGAGGGGCCCAGGCTATGACCGGAGCCTTCCGGGGGAGGTGCAGATCCGGTGCCCGAGTAAAGAATTCGGTGCTTGTCCCTGATCCAGGCACAGAAGGGACGGGGGGAAGGTATAGGAATGTTTCACTGTGGACTCACAGAACTGTTGGGCATGATAGAGTTCCTGCAGCAGCTCCGGGACAGAGCCAGCACAGCTTTTCCAGGCATCTGCAAACAGGGAGTCTTTCCAGCTCTTTTGTAAACAGGGAGCTGGAGGGGCAGTCAGTGTCTTTGGAGCTTCAGCTCCAGTGCAGGCAGCTCTGCAGACCCACTCTGGAGAAGGACTATGGCACATGAGCCAAGTGCCAGTCCCTTCTGCCAGCCAGCTTGCAACTTGTAGGAGACAAGCTGGGAAAAAGGCTTATGAACCCAGCATGAGTCCAGAGGCCTTGGGTGTGATGGGCTGGACAGGCAGAGTTCCCTGCATTGAACCAGGGCGTGCAGTGAGCTGGTCCTGAGCTCTCAGCTCGGGAAGGGACCTGGCACCCCATGGCCTCTGTCTGTTCCCTCAGGACCTGGGAGCTGCAGCTGGCTCCAAACGCCCGACCTGTGTGATCATGATCAAGCCCCATGAGGACTACCAGGAGGCCTACGACGAGTGCCTGGAGGAGGTGTCGGCCCTTCCCATGCCGCTGTGAAGAGCCAGGGCCGGGCTGTGCCCTGCGGGGCTGTGGCGGGTCCCTGTCCCTTTGCCCGGGGACCACACGGCTGTTTCTGGGGACTCTGCCAAGAGGACTGATGGGGGGATGCTGAGCACTGTGGGGTGAATAAAGGTGTCTGTGTTTTTGTACAACGTGGTCCTGCTGCTCGGGGCGAGGGCTGGGGATGTCCATGCCAGGGCTAAACCACAGCGGGGGCGGGGGTGAGGCTGCCCCGGGATCCCGCCCGGCCCGGCTCGGCCCGGCCCAGCCGTGAGTCACGGCCATGCCCCGCCCGCTTGTACCGCCCAGCCCGACGCGGCAGCTCCGGGGCGGGCGCTGGGCAGGTCCAGGCCGGCCCTGCACCATCTCCCTCATGGTCCACAGCCCCCCGACCCCGAGGGAAGCAGAGCAGAGGCCAGGAGAGAGAAATGCGGGTTTATTGCAGGAACGGAGTGTGGAGCTGGGTCCGGCCTTCACGTGGTTCTGCTGTTACACACACACAGCAGGGTTCTTCCAGCACCTCTGGGCTCCCCCAGCTCCCCCTCACCTCCCCTGGGAGGGGGGACCGCGGCCTCTTCCCCAGCTCAGGCACATGCCCCAGTCCTCTCTCCCACCCCAGTTCCTCCCAGTGTGGCAGAGCACCAGTTCCCATCCCTCCTTGCACAAGGCACTCCCCCATCTCAGCCCAAAGAAAGCTGCACCAGACACCTCCATTGCAGAGCAGCTGCACAATGGGGACACGAGAAGCCCCAACAGAGGTGCTGGGGCAGCTGCCCCCTCCCAGCAGCACCAGAACTCAGGGTTTCCTCCTCTGCTTCCCCAGTGGCACTACCAGCTGCAGGGCCCTGCTGACAAGGCAGCTACTGCAAACAGTAGCTGCAACCCTCACAGCAAGGCAGTGGGATGGGGAACAGGGCTTAAGCTTCTCCTCACAAGACATTAAGTTACTGGGTTGTAGGAACAGGGGCAGCAGAGCAGGAGGGACAGGGAATGTCTCACAGGGTGTTTGGTTTCTGCCCCCATGGGAGAAGGAATCACAGGGCAAAAATGCTCCTCGAGTCAGAGCACGGGGCACATGCAAGACCCCCACCCTGGCACAGATGACCCCCAGCCCTCCAGAGACTCCCACCAGAAGGGCCTGAAGTGCTGCAAGAAGGAAAAGCTCCCTGTGGCAACCAGTCCTTCAGCCCAGGGCAGCGCCGAGCGGGGCCAGTCCTTGTGCACACCCTGAGATCGTCCCGTTGCAGCAGCAAGAGACCTTCCCCCTTCTCAGTCCCACTGGCATCCCGCCCCTCAGATCTTGGAGGACTCCACCCGCTCGATCCAGGGCGAATCGATCCTGACATCCCTGGGCTCCGCCCGCAGCTGCCGCAGCTCCCGCTCCAGCGCCTGGCTGCGGTGATACATCTCCATGTAGCTGGCCTGGAGCTCCCGCTGGTACCGCAGCACCTTCTCCTTCTCCTCCTGCCACGTTTTCCTCTCCAGCTCAAAGTTCACAGCCTGCAGCTGGCCCTGACGCCGCTCCCGCAGCAGCTCTGCCCACAGCCACTCCACCTGCCGCTCCAGGGGCTCCGCCGAGTCGCTCTGGAGGCCCCGGCACTTGGAGTCATCAGTTTCGCAGCCAGGGAAGTCCTGGCACGACGGCATGGGATCATCGCCCAGGGGCAGCGAGGTGCTGGGCTCTGGGGGGCTCTGGAAGGAGTCTGCCAGCTGTGCCAGCTGCGAGTCCCTGGCCTGCACCTCCGCCTTGGCCTCCCGCAGCTGCGTCTTCAGGCTGAAGATCTCCCCCAGCTTCTGAGCCATCTCCTCCTGGGTGTCCCGGAGCTGCTGCTTCAGCAGGGAGATCTCTGCTGCTTTCTGGCACACCTGCAGAGCACAGGCGAGCAGTGAGGAAGGGCTGGGGGAGCAGGACCCAGAGGTGGCAGCACCCCAAGCTGTCCTCCTGGGAGACCATAAGCACCACACGTGGCACTTCCTTCCTGTAGTGTGACCCTGACTGAGGAAGGAAAAGAAGGAAAGGAAGGAAGCTCACCTCCCACTTGGTCTCCTCCACTTTGGGGCTGCCATGCTCGCCCTGGGACTGCCGGAGCTTCGTCTCCTCGCACTGGCACTGCTGCAGGCTCAGCTCCTCCTGCAGCCGCTTCTTCTCCTGCTGTGCCTTGTAGAGCTGCAGCTGCAGCGCCCGCTGCCCGCGCTGCGCCTGCTGCATCACCTGCTGCAGCCGGGCCATGTACATCTGCTTCAGGTCCTCCAGCTCATCCAGCCACAGCCGCTGCTTGTCCTCAAATGCCTGCCGGCACAGGTGGACACCGGTGAGAGGCTGTAGCCCCAGGAGGTCCCGTGATATCTGATCCTCCCGAACTCAGGCCTTCCAAGCAGATCACCCACCACAGCAGCTCCTTCACTGCTCCTTCCACCCACACATCCCTGCCCGGGGCACCAAACACCGCGCCAGCCCACAGCTCACCTGTGTGAAGGGGTCTTCAGTCTCACTGAGGCTCCTTTTGAGCTGTCGCAGCTCCCCTCCCGTTTCCTGCAGCCGGTCCTCCAGCTGTTTCACCGCGTCCTCCAGCGAGTAGGAAAACTCGTAAGGTGGCGGGGGCTCACCAGGGCTCTGCAGCCTGCTCAGGGTGGCCATGCTTTTGCAGGACAGGGGCATCTTCTCGGGGGCCAGGGTATCCCTGGGGCTCCGAGAAACCCTGTCCAAGGAGCCCCCAATGTGGTTGATGTGGCCCATGGAGGCGCTGAACTGGCTCTGGGCAGGCTTGAGGCGGGAGCCGTAGGATGGGAAGCTCTGGATGGAGTTGTGGCTGGAGTCAGAGGCCTCATCCAGGCTGATGGCGTGGAGCAGGTGGGTGCGGAGCGGGCCGTGCTGCGGGGCCGCTGTGCTGCTCTGCGACAGCAGCGTGTGCAGGCTCCCATTGCTCTTGGACAACTTCTGCCCCTTGGACGAGGACAGGCCCTGCATGGAGACCAGCCCCTTCCCAGCCACTGCCTTGAAGGCTGAGGGCCTGATACGGCACTGAAAAACAAGAGCGAGGTCAAGCATGACCCTCTACAGAAAGAGAGACCCCCACACCCCCAGCTTCATATCCCTGAACATCCTCAGATCCCCACATCCCATGCAGGGGGGTGCAGATCACCCTGCTCCATCCTCATCCCCTCGCACACCAGGCTGTATTTCAGGACCTCACCTTGTCGAAGCGGCCCCTCTCCGGCAGGGAGCTCTTGGAGAAGTCGGCCCCACGGTGATGCTCGCGGGAGCAGCGCTCAGGGGATCGGTTCTCGCGGTCACTCTCGTAGTCCCGCTTGTAGCAGGCGCCCGATGTCTGGTGCTTCCGCTCCGCCCGCGTCTCCTTCTTGGCCCCGTGCAGGTACCCAAAGAGCTCCCGCTGGCTCGGCCCCTTCCGCAGCAACCCATCGGGCTGCCGGAGCCCCCGCGAGCCGCCCAGGGGGGCCCGCAGCTCCAGGGGGGACAGGTCCTGCTTCTCCACCAGGCTGCCCACGCTGCCCATGCTGCCAACGACGCCGACGGGCTCCGAGGAGAGGTAGGTGCCGAGGACACGGGTGTCGGGCTCACAGGTCACAGGACCCTGTGCTGCTGCCATGGAGAATTAGAGAAAAGCCCAGAACCAGCACTGCCGGGGAAGAACAAAGTCAGCGATGCCGAGCAGCCGGGACACACCCCCGGCACTCCCCCCCTCCCCCTTCCCAGCCAGCCCCAAGGGCCCACATGGGCTCCTGGCACTGGGATGGATCTGCCATCTCCCGTGCAGCTTCCCGGGGGACAGGGCACAGCACGCACGGGGCGGGGGCTCCCCGCTGCTGCCCCCACCACGGTGCAGCGCCTCCTCCCACACCCAGCCCCACCTCCCGCCCGCGGCCGGGGCCGCCACCAGAACAGGCACCTGCCGCCCAGCCAGGCGGGCGAGTTCGGGAGCCGGCAGCACCTGCCCGGGCCTGGCGCCAGCCCCGGCCCGGCGGCACCCAACCTCCCCGCCGGGACCTCCGGCTCCGGACACTCTCTGGAGACCTCCCCAAAATGGGATGCCCATCAGCTTGGCCTCCCCGGGGCGCGCATGGGACGGGCACCTCTGCGGCACCTCGGGGACACTTCCCGCACGGCACGGGCGGCACCGGCTCCTGCAGCTCGCAGGGAGAGCCCCATCCATCCACAGCATTCCCTCCCCAGCACCGGGCAGGGAGCAGGCGGCCACAGCCCAGCTGCTGCGTGCGTGCCGGGGACCCCGTGGCCGGACATGGCGTGAGGGCGGTGGGAAGGGGCAGGATGCTGACGGGACAATGCAGCTTCCTGCGCAGGTGGCCGGGGGAGGAAGGATGAGGGGATGCCTTCGGCCTCGGCTCTGGCTCCCCAGGGCTAGGGAGGGGACGATGGCCTCACACCAATGCAGGGGACACAGAGAGTGAGATAGGGGCGAGGCAGAACCCCCAGCACCGCTCCCAGCCTCGCCGAGGGCTCCGGGGCCGGGCTACACCCAGGAAGCTGTCCTGGTTCTCAGCACCACACGCCGGGTAAACAAACACCCCGCTTTTAATTGCTGCCACGCACAAACCTGTCTGACAGCTCCCGGACTGGGCTGTCACCTCCCTCTGCGAGCCCAACACCTGCTCCGGGCACCGGCACCCCACGAAGGGCACCGGGGACGGACGCTCCGGAAGGATCCGGGCTGCCTGCGGTGCCACCGGGCGTGCACGGGGATAGGGGACGTGGATGTTCCCGTGGTGTGGGGGGGGGGCGTGGATGCACATCCAGCCCCCAGCACTGGGGAGCAGCTCGGCCGAGCCCCGCAGCGGCTCCTCCCGGCACAGGCGGCCGAGGAAGTAGGTCAGGTTGTGGGAGGTTTGGGAAACGCCAGGGGAGCCCGAAGGTGTCCTGCCTGCGGCAGGGAGGGGATCACCCTCCAGGCGGCAAAACACCGGTCCGGCCAGCCTGGCTCCTTTGCGATCTGCTCCCAGTCCCAGCCGTGCCTGGGCAGGATACGGCCACAAGCCTTTTCCCATTCCTATCCCACCCGGGAGGGAACAGCAGGGTTGGAGGGAAGCGGGCGCGGGTCCCCGCGCAGCCCCCTCCGCGCCTCCCCGCAGCCCCGCCGGAATTTCCGGCACGGAGAAGGCGGAGGGGGCAGTC